AAATCAAGCATCAAATCACCCAATCATTAAATGTTGATTAATGTAAGTTTTTTTTTAAATTTTCCCGCGAAAAAACTGGCAATCGAATCGAGCGGAAAATGAATTCAGCGATGCCGGCCGCTGTAGTATTGGGAACAGCGCGGTACGCAGGGACGTTCTTAAATTATGAATAGAGAGAAATGTACGAGTATTCGTGTGGGCAGGTAGATGAGTGAACAGGTGGGAGTTGGTTGTGAGCCCAGGTGTGCATACTTGTGTGTATACACGTGTGTCTGTGGTACATGCGTGTCATGGGTGCGTGTGTGTGTGCGTGCGTGCGTGCGTGCGTGCGTGTGTTGTGTCTGTGCACGCGCATATGCGTGCGTATGTATGCATTGTGTGCGTGTGCGTGCACGTGTTTATGTGTGTGTGCGTGCGTGCGAGCGTGTGCTTACGTATGCATGTGCGTGTGACCGCATAACGTACATGTGTACGTGTGTACATCTGTATGTGTTGGATTGCAAGCTCATGTACTCCCGTCACAGGGGCGTGTACAGGGGAGGGGGTCCAGGGGGTCCGGACCCCCCCCCCTGCTCGCGCAAAAAACGCATCTAAGGGGGTCTAATTTCAAAAATTTTCTGTACTCGCAAGTTTGGGTTACGGTTAGACCCCCCCTGGTACAAATCCTGTACACGCCCCTGCGTCAATGCACGTATACCTATCATCCACACTACACTAGTTGGGAAGCTGGAGAAAGCGTGAACATACTTACAAGTTGTATATAGTTAATGCGACCCTCGCGTAGATCCACCATGCTGTCGAGGGCCTCACGGGATATCGGGAATGCAACACCTTTCAGTGTTTCATGTCTCGTGTCGACCGGATGGTACGCCATCTAGTGGTAAACAACATTTTCAACATGGCTGCAGGAAAAACTACAACAGTAAACAACATATTCAACATGCCTGCAGCGAAAACTACAACAGTAAACAACATATTCAACATGCCTGCAGCGAAAACTACAACAATAAACAACATTTTCAACACGCCTGTAAGGAAAACAATGCCAACTTGCGACAAAGAATCGTTTATGTTTGTTTTTTTCTATACCGAGTCATCATCGTTATCGGTTATTTATCGCGTCACGTACCTCCTCCAGTTTTAGCCGTGCCAGTTCCTCCTCCGTGTCTGTCATTGGTCCCGGACCCGCCCGCGCATGTAGGTGGCGCTCGTACCCAGCGAACGACATCTCTCGCTACAAAAACAAGAGGTAGCATGTTGACCATATTATGTAGACGCACGTGCACCACACCACAAACAGTTTCATGTAGCAATGGAAGGTGAAAATGTCAGCGGCCGATAAACATCTCTTGCTCCCAACAATCGTCCCCCACACCAACCTGCCGTTATTGCCACGCAGCTCTGAATACTAATCACTCTCATGGCAGGAAGTTCTAAAACACAATCCTTAACAACGAAGTGTCGCAAAGTCGTCAATTTGGCGTGTGCGCCCATGCAAAATACGTCCAAGCTGGTTTAGAGCTACCTGCCTAGCAATGACAGGGTTCATAGTAGTAAAACACATGTTGAAATAAGGACTTATAAGACCCTTTCTGGAGGCCAAAATAAGACTTTTTAACGCGATTTCTGATAGATCACCGACTATTAAAGTACACTAATAACAGAACAAACAAATCTCCGCATTCAGCGATCGATGTGACAAACCCGACGATCTTTTATGAAAAAGCCGTTTCGCCGAAATTCAACACAGAAAATGTTGAAAAATGGTCCTTTGGCAAAAAATAAAGACTATTAAGTACTTTTCTAAGATTTCACCAAAAATAAGTACTAATAAGGGCCCTTATTTTATTTTTGGCAAAATAAGTACTTATAAGACTTTGGAAGACCCGCTACGAACCCTGAATGGTATTGTTGGGGGGAAGAGCGTGTGGTTACCTCGCTCCGACGCATAGGTCGATGAAACTACGTCACTCTGGCGCCGACATACCTTTGACGTTCCGAACATTTCATCCTTGATGTGAACGAGTCCAAACTCTGTCTTGACGGTCGCTCGCGTTGCCGCATACAACATCTTCTCCCGTACCTGAAACCAGACACAGCCAACCGATAACCACCGACCCACACACAGCCAACCGATAACCATCGAACCAAACCCAGCTAACCGATAACCCCCAAACCATACATAGCTATGCGATAACTACTATACTATTTTATTTATTCTATTCTACTAAACTCCTATTCCTACTCTGCTCTTCTCTACTCTAATCTACTAAATTCTAGACTACCCTGCACTGCACAGCAATGCACTGCACTGCACCCCAGCCTACCCCACCTCACTCCACTACACTTCACTCCACTGCACCACATTACACTCCACTCCACCACATTACACCCCACTACACCACATTACACTCCACTCCACTACACTT